CTTGAGTCAGCTATGCACACATCTACCTTTATCAAAGCCAACGGAATACAGGACATCAGCCCCCTGCTTACCAAAATTGCTTACCAGGCTAAGAGCTAGCAAAACAAAACAAAAAAAACCACACCAGAAAACAAACAAACAAACAAAACCCCAAAAGAAAGCTTTTTGTCATTTAATTGTGTATCTTAATATGATGGGTCATATAACTTGCCAATCATGCAGGCATTGTCTATGGGGTTTTAGTTTTTTGAGTGTTTTAACATTTCCAGAACACATTAATAAAGAACATTTTAAAGCACGAGGCTTAAAGATTTTACAACTATTTTAGTACTATTGCATCAATTAGAACACATTTTGAAGCAGTAATTTGTTTTTTTAATCCTGAGCACTTTCAACTTGGGAAAAAAATCTCTCAAAACACTCTTTTCAAATCACATGAATGTTGACTTTGTTTCTTACTGGGTTGGAGACAGTATATGCTAAAATAAACCACTAACGCTATAAGACATGACCTTATTTTTCATAGATCGTGCCCTATTCTTGAGCAAGAGATTCTGGTTGCAAAAGGCAGAAATGAATCCAGAGCTGAGTTTTAAGGACAACTCTCAGAGGATTTCTCACTGTAACAGCACAATGCTGCCAGAGGCATGTACGGACATGCCCTAAGGTCTCTCTTTCTGGCTCTCCTCTCAAAAAGGCAGAGCAGCAATACGAATAGTAGTTGTGCTATACTGTGTTTACTGTATGTAAAAACATTCTTTTCCAGAGCATAAATTGAGGATTATAGTTTTAAACAACTGCTCCAGGGCTAGACTGAATACTTAACTCATCTGACAAAAAGAAGAGAAGGAACCAGGGCTCTGTGCTGCTGAATTTGGACACTTTCTGCATATTGGATCCTGAAGCTCATATTAAGCTTCTCAAACCTGTTGTTTTGAGCACATAACCTGCTATCATGACTGCCTTAATAGCTTTTCAACAAACTGGGTCACAAGTTTTAAAGGGCAAACATCATTTGGGAGAAGGATACCAAGGGAGTTAAACATCCACTGCAGACAGGATAAAATCCTTGCTGTGTGCAATGTGGAACCTCACAGTGTCCACACAGAGAACATCCAGCAGAAATTACTTGTGTGCAAACACAATCTTTCATTAAGTGAGCTAGTAGAAAACAGATTATAGTTCAGGGTAAAAAGAACACTCCTCAACTATCTTCTTTTTAATTTTAAATCACTAAAACTCTTGCTGCTACAGCTTTATAAGGATGCCATTTTTATCTTATTTTTCTGATGGACCTAGAAAAAGAGAAACTGTACATAGAATTGGAAGAGCTGTTCTATTGCTAACTAGAGAAAAGTTACACAGCAGTCAGAACTTGACTCTCAAGAAAGCCAGTCTATACATACTCCTACTCTACATAAACACAGGAAAAAGCAAGTATTTCAGAACAAGGAATGGCTTCGTTTACAAATAGAGTTCTGTGTGCTGTTACACATGCTAACTGAAATAAGTCTGAACAAATGGCAAACACACACCCATATGGAACACCTTTTCATTATTAAGATATAACTCCGCATTTCCTAAATAATTACTTAGTTTTGGAAAGAATGAATTTCAGAAGATAGATATTTATTTTAACCACAAAAAGGATATCTGAGAAAAGTGAACTTTTGCACGTGCCTGACATCAAGAGTTCAACAAATTTGCCAGGCATTCAAGACTGATGCTACAATGAGCTTTGTCAGTGGCACAGTATCTGAAAGACCCACTGGTTCCGTAGTAGGAGGCTCTGCAAGCGCTACAGTGACACTAGGTGAAAAAGAACAGGATCAAATCCCCCTGGATAGGTTAAGTATACAACCAAAGGGTAATTATTGAGATTTGCTGTTGTATGATTTCATCTGAACAATAAGAAGGGCAACTAGATGGTAAACTATGCATATTTAAGCATTAAAGAATACAGGGGCTTAACCACTCTTCCTCTGCTATCAGCAGAGGCAGCGTATCTCCCACTTTTCCATCCTTTTTGCACAGAAGAATTTAAAAGCTCTGCCCCCTCCACTGCTGAATTAAGGCCTCTCTAGACAGAAGACAAGACTCCACACCTGGAAGGGAAGGAAAAGGAAATCCTTGCTTTCCACCTCCATAAAAGAGCTGGCTTTTCAACCTGGGAATGCAGAACCACAGATATTTAAAATGTCTTTCAGGTTGCAGTAACTTGCACCAGATAGGCAAATATATACTGAGGTAAAATTTCCAGGAATAATTACTATTTCTAATAGCTACTGGTCTCCTGACCAAGCATAAATAGTAATAAGGTTAGGAAGGTTAGGGTAGTTACGCCATCAAAACATCACTTTCTGATTTAGTGAGTGAAGCACAAGCTTGGAAGAATGAACCTTTTCTGATTATTTTTTCTCTTTTCTATGTGATATCCCATCACAAAAGGATGAAGAACTATCAAATCTTGCTAGACAGTCCCATTTCAGCCACTGTAGTTCATGAGCTTCCTTTTTACATCTGTTTTAACTACTACAACCAAGCTCCAACTTACCCTTTCAGGTTAGCTCTTTTCTACTTTAGAAAGGTTCTCAGAGAAAAACCTTTTAGTCAACCAACTAAGAATCCTGGAAGCCAGTAATTCAAGTCATTCATGCCATGGTCCTGCATCACCAACATTTTCACAAAGTCATCATAAAATCTCCTTTTTGCGCTTACAGTAGAAAATAATCTACAAAATAGCAAACAACCCCCCCAAAACCCAACCCTTCTGCCATGTAAATCAGACAAAACAGGACTAGAGTAAAAGTAATACAGACCTCCACTTGAAATAACTGTCTTTTCGACTAACGTTGATTACAATTAGATTTAATATAAAAATCAAAAGCCCTCCCCTGGACTGCAACAATTGTGAAATGGACAGCTGAGGTGGAAATTAAAAAAACAGAGCAAGAAATCTGCAATGAATTTATTGCAGCCACTACAAACAGGAAGTAGTTAGCAGAAGGAAAACCTTCACTGTTAAATGGAAAATAAGGAAAGATCATATTTTTAATAAACTTTCATTTGTCCTCTTCTCCCCCTTTTACTCTCAGATATATACGCAGAATGTGCTTGGAAGCAGCAAAAGAGTGGAGCTTCAAAAATCACTCATCAAACAATTGTGCTACTTTTAATAATTTATTAAAGGTCCTAAAACAAAGATCAAAAGGGAATATATCTAAGCATTTATATTCAATTCCACGTTGCCTGATGACTAATTTGTAAAGAGTGCACAAGTCTTCACAACTGAAGCCAAAATCATTTGAGGATACTTTGATATAATGCCACAAAGGATATGAGCAGGAAGGCAGCAGGAGTTACGAATGGCCAAGCTCCATTAAAAGTGCTAATAAAAGAATAATGGCATTTCCTTGTACTATGAATAAAAAGTGTTTTGCACAGGAGAATTTAGGCACGGAGAGGAATATCAAAGCTTCTAGTTCATCAGTTGCTTCTTCTTATTAGATCTTAATTGACTTACTATTACATTTACCTTAAAATGCTTCAAATCAAGAAAGCAATGAACCCCTTCAAAATCCTGTCACACTAATTTCCTTTATTCTTAATGTTTCTCAATTTTCACAGGCCCTTAATATCTGCTTTATGAATCCTTGTAAATAATGCAAGTCTATCTACAAAAAATACTTCAAAGTGATGGATTTAACTTGAAATGATATATAATTATTAAAATTATAGAATATACCTACTGTTTGACAATGTTTTTTTAAACTGTAAATTTTCAAGTTGCTGGTAATTATGGAACTCATATAGCAACAACCTACCTGATAAATTTAATCCATTAATATATACACAATGTATTTCTTCCTCATAAACATATGTATAGTTACACACATACATTCATGTGTTCATGCATACAGATAGGTGCACATACATACACGCTTCTGACACCTTCTTCCCCCAAATATAAAACCTAGCTCATTTTTCCAATGTATAGCTATTTGGTACACAGCCAGGAAAAGAAGGGGTAGAGTTCAGAACTTTCCTTTGAAATGTCTAAATAAAAAACCGTTTCAAATCTTTCTTTTTTGAAATAGATACTTGCAAAATCACATACACTTTGCAAAGCAGAAACAGCAAAGACAGCGATCTCATACTGCTGACAAATTGTTAAAAGATTTAGTGCACTTGTTTAAAAAAACATGCCCACAGATGCATCCAAGACAGGAGGAACTCCCCAAAAATATTTACAAACCTACTTAACTCTCCTTCAATCTGTTGCTTAATGCTCTTTTGCATAATGTCTCCAAAAATCCCATGACAAATAGTTATAGCACAGAAATGCTGTGATCTCTGTCTCCCGGTTCTCCAAAATCTTCTTGTAATAGCTTTAATTTTTATTTCACATTGCAATGTCTTTAGGGAAGTGATCTTCTTTTCTTACTCTATAGTATGGGATATAATATTTTTTTTACCAGGGTTCCCAGACTTTACAAATAAGGATCAAGTTATAATGATGATGTGTATTTCTTCTTCTTCCCCCCAGACAACCATCAGGCTTATTAGCAAAGCAGCCTCTTCCAATGATGCTTCCAGAATCAATAGATAATTCATTAGTATCATGTATCTCAGGGCCTAATTGACACAACAGGCTAAGCAACAGACTCAAGGGTAACACAGTTTCTAAACAGAGAGAAAAAAAGAGGGGAATCCAATACCACATATGGTCACTTTGCAGGATTTAGTGTCAGTCTATAAATTATACTTCCATGAGGTTAACGTGAGTCATTGGTTTCACAAATCAGAAAATGCAGCTTTTCATGCTTGGCTTGAAAAAACAAAGAAACATTTATATGATAGCATAAGTTAAGTAACGTGAATACCCTAGCGCTTTCAATTTTCTAATTTCCTCTCATTTTTGCATTAAACATGAAATATAGTTATCACACATGTTTGGAATTATTCTTCACAACAAATGTAGGTAGTATATTTTTTCTTACCTTATGATCATATGGATTGTATGAATGAAACAGCTGGGACAGATCCTTTGTTCTCTGTTTTTTCTGAAAAGTAATATTAATAAATAAACTGTATTAGAAAAGTTAAAGGAAAAAGAAAGAGATTACTGATTTAAAAAGCTGTATGCAGGTACAAACACATTCTCTCCCCACTTTGTTAATGGAACTGTAGGTATGAAGAGCAGTGTATGCAGATTAAGGATATTAAATATCACAGGAAATAATTAACATATATATTAACAATGTTAAGAACATATCCTTAATAAATAATAAACACTAATCTATGGAACATCAGTGGAATGTGTAAACAATTCAGATTTGTTTTAATTTCTGCACAATAACTCAAATAATGTTTTAGAATACAGATAACAAAACTTGAAGGTTAGGCTCCAATCTTGCAAAGACTTGTCTACTATTCTAGTATGTACATGCAGCTTTGCTTTATAGCAGATTAGGTTTAAAGGAAGTCAGTTTAAAGAAGAATCATTTATTATTCTTCAATTTCTTTTGATGCTAATACTCTCATTGCCTTGATTGTGGAAAATTAATAGGTGGTATGCCATTTAATGCCAAAGCAAAGGGAAAAAAATCTCCTGTTAAGAGCAAAGTTCAAAGACAAAACCTGCTTAATCCAGCTTCTACTGAAATCAATGAAAGAGCTTTCAGTGATTTCAGCAGATGTTAAACAGAATCTCTCAGCTGCATCCTATGGAGCGGGGCAGGGAGAGGAGAAAAACACCATTCATCTTTAATGCAGGGATGAGTCACAAGTTCAAAGTTTATGATGTCAAAATTGACATTGACTTATCTCATAGCTCGGGAAGACAGAGCCTTGCGTGTTGGAAACTGTGCAAAGGGGAGACAACTACAAGAACTCCTTGCTTGTAGTCTTGTACCTTGCTTGTAGTCTTATTTTAGCCATCACTTCTGTGAAAGTAGTTTTCCAACTAAACTGGTAGGATCTGTTCATGTTTCCAGCATGCTGGGAACTAAATAGACAGCTGCATGACTGCAGTTTTTTTAACTTCTGGAAACTATAGGACAATTTAGTAATTTTTGATTATGCAAAAGGAACTATGTATTTCCTTTCTTTACACACTTTTTATTTTCAGTGAAATGTTCAGGTGCAGCAACTTAGTCATAAAAGCTATAACCTCAGTTACCAGTACAAATTTATGACAGCTGGATATTTCTGAGTCACTAAAGGTATCGGATTAATATTACTACTCTGTGAGGTCCCTACCTTTGTTTTAGTTATGACCACTAAAGAGTCAAGAAAATAGGTTTTTACTCACTGTCCCTCTTCAAACAAGAATGGTGAATTTTGGTTTTGGTATGAGAAGGTTACTTCTGTCATAAACAATTCTATTCAATTACCATAAGCAATACGTAACAGGACTTGTTTCTCTGAGTTTACTAAGGGGCTTTCAAACTAACAGAAGTGATACTAAAAAAGACATTTCTGTTAGTATAGACATTCTCAGCAATTGAACATGTCTTTGCCAAAGGAAAGACCTCCCTTAGTAGAGGAATCTTCGCCCTCTAACCCCCATTAATACCTCTTTTATTTCCAATGGGAAAAACCCACTCAAAATTCCATCACCACCCTACAATGACTTCTTTCCTGGTAGTACAGTTATACACAGTCAAAGTGCTTAAAATATTACACAAAGGATTTGGAGAAATGTGATAATAAATTGAAAAGAAATATCAAAATTATTATATGAAAAGGTTGCTTAAAAAACTAATTTAATGTAGAATCATGCAAGTAGTAGACGAAAGCATTTTAGTTTGGAATCTGGAGACCTCCGCTAAACTTTGTAGAAAACGTCCCCCCCCAGTCCAGAAAAAGTCTAATTCTTGCTTTTTCTTACCAAAGACTATTTCTCTTGAATCCATTTTGACTGCACACAAAGAGCTTGAGGTTTTTTTTTTTTCTTCAATAGCTTTAATAACACTCAATAAAATTATATGATAGAAACCCTGCTATCCTTCACCTTCAGACTGGCCAAAATGGTATTTACACACTCAGCTAGACAAGATGAAGAATGAAGATGGCTTCCCTTACACAATACACTGACATAGTCTTCCACTTTTTGTTATAGGAAATTATGGTTTCTTTCCTACCTTTCTACAAAAGGTAGAAGGTTTGCTTTTTGTACGAAACCAAAATGCTTCTGACTGGGGAAATGCTGGAAATGCGTGACACAGAAACAGGGAATGGAACTTCTGGAAATGCACATGAAAAAATGCTGCCCCCAGGATGCCCCGTATGCTTAGCTGATCTGAATCTAAACAGCATTTGACTGCTTTGTAGGAACTCTGAATACACAGAGACAAAAATGTCTTAAGCACAGAGTCAAGGTTGCTTAGTGATAATTTGTGGCTTTCTAGAACACCAAACGCAGCTTAACTCAAAACCCAAAAAATAGAAAACATTTCAAAACACACTGAGTAAGAAAAGGACAAGGAATGCCTGCTGCTATAATGGTAACCCCTTCAACTCCTACAGCAGGCATTACCTACACAGTATTAATAGTAAGCTTTTTACATGAAGAAAAGGCACGGTTCCCAGCTCACCTGTAAGCAGTGTAAAGTGCAGAGTAAAGCAGGCCTCTCCCTGTCTAGACATGACAGAGTAAAAGAAGGAGCCCAAAAGACCCCTCTCCTTCATTGCCTCCAGTGGACTATTTCAGTCCCTAAACTGCCTATTTACATGCATCTCCCCAGAATTTCTTTCCTTGACACAGCTTCATATTCCTATTTCTCCTTCCTTGGCTTAGTCCAATATCCCTTTCACAAGTACTCTCTTGACCAATATAAAAATATTTTTCTTCTCCCTATCTTCCTGTTCTTCCCTTTTAGTGTTCTGATGCCCCATTCCTTTGTTCTGTACCAATAATGCTGTCAAAAAACACATGGTAAGAAGACACTCAAAACCCCTTTCTGAACTCAGGCAAATGTACTGTCCCCTCGTACTGTTTCACGTACAGCAGCAGCATCGCTTTCAAACATCCTCACAGATCTGCCTAGGATATATTTAAATTTATTATCTTTCTGAAAAAATTCAAGAGTCTTTCCAAAGTCACCGTACAAATTAGCACAGGGTATTTCCAAAAATGAAAAGACCTCTTAGGAGTCTGATAGCAGCATCAGACTCGTAGCTTATTTCCGTACTTCTCTCAGGCTTGCCTTACATTGATACAGCCTATGTTCAGTGACCACAGAACATTTCCTTAAACCAAGTTACTTTTGGCAGTAGGTTACTTGCAATACTCTTACTCAGTCTGGCTGTATATAATTTTGGTCCAAGAGCATTTGACACGTAACAAGCCAGAGATACACTGTTCCTCCACAAACTTTTCCAGCATTGGTTTGCCAACAGGCCAGTCATGTATCACTTAAGATAAATATCGTGTGACTAACAAGACCAGTAAAGCCTCAGCCTAAGAACTGTGCACAATTTCCTACTCGTGCATTGAAGCAAGCAGCGGTGTGTGAAGCAGGGATTTCTGAAGCACCAGTAGCAGGCCATCTGGGGAAGTGCAGAGCAGTACCCCATTCATACAGAAGGAAGGGCTTGCCCTGGGTGGAGGGCGCTGCCTGCATCACTGCTGCGTACAGCTCTTCACATGCTGGAGTCTGTGGGAGCCCAGCAAGGTCCTCCTAAATTTACAACAAGCAAGACTCTGGACAGAAGGTTCCCTAATATATGTATGTATGTATGTACGTGCATGTGTGTGCACTTTACAAGGGCAGAAATTTTGTTAGGTTACAAAATTCTGACGACTCAGTCATGCACCGATTTAAATTTTAAACCCCTGGTCCTTAGCTTGTAGCACTTAAAGAAACAAGCTGAGGGAGATGAGATAGATAAAGAGATACATTCAGATACTATGCTAATGTGGGCCACTAAAAATATATGCATATGACTATGCAAACAATTTTTCACTTTTCAGTTTCAATAAGTTTTAAAAATGCCACATTATATGGGAGATACAACGGAGACACTTTTTACTTCTATCTTTAGCTGGAAAAGTATGTGAAAGCCTGATGAAGAATGGATTAATGTGCTGCTGCAGGACTGAGTTAAATACTGTAAAATCATGTATGTATGTACACATAAGTATGCTGGGATGGAAGGGTTTCCCTAAGTAAAGCAATACTTTTGTAAGTGAATTATTTCAAGCTTGTTACTAAAATACTCATAAGTAATTAAGTGCTTCTGAAAACACAGGTAGCGTTCAACATGCAGTTACAAAAATAACAACCAGAAACCAACATCAACTAATGATGTTTCTTATGACAACACACAGAGACAATGTTAGTAACAAGGAAACAACACATTACCATAATTCCATTATTTTCCCTCCCTGTAAGCATACATGCAAGTAACACATACTTTGCTCTAAATATTTCCTTTCTCTGTCTCTCATTTTCTGGGCCTCAGATTTTCGAGGTCTTATTTTTAACTACTGAGATTCTGTAAAGGGACACTGGTCATGCGAGATGCATATTATATGCTGAAAGTATGGCAACAATAAAGGATCCTTTTAGAACACATCCAGAATTATAAACCAATAAAGCCAAGAGTTCGTGACCTTCTTGGTGTTTTTAGTCTTTTCTCATGCGTTGATTTTATGCGTTGATAATGAAACATTTTCTAATGCTTTAAGTGAACTACACTGTGGATTATTATCCTACTTTTGATCAGGAAAGATCACTTAAAGAACAAACAGGTAGAATGTAAACAAACCAACCAAATGAAAAAAAACCCATACAGGATGAATCTCTAAAACTGTTTCAAATATTTTCTGCACAAGTTAACCAGCACAGAATTGTGTATTGACTACTTCACAAAAATAAAGCTGAATTTAATTTTTTTTTTTGTAAATAATGGTGTTAAAATAGGGTAAAGGTAAGGATATCCTAACAATACATTTTTATAAACAGAAAATACCTTAGAAAAGTAAGTTTAGAAATTAAATAACTATACCAAACACTAAACATCGTAGGCTCACACATGTATATTGCACTTCTCTGGT